AAAAAAAAAAAGAAATGGATTCCTAATTAATAAAAACAAATTATTACGATTGAACTTCATTTCCTTGTTACTGGGGTGTAAAAATCACTCTAGATGACACTATTGGCCTGGTTAAATTAATAATATCTTTCCTAACTGAATTTTTTATATTATATATTGATAATACGTTCAAATGTGATGTGAGGATTTCTTGTAGCAGGTGTTCAACAGTCACCAGTGAACATCGTAGCGACAGCGACCGTAGTGACGGAAGAAGCCCTTTTGGGCGATGAGGAGACTGAGAACTGCGAGGGCGAGAGCGAGAGTACCGAGAAGTCCGCGAATGAGGAAGATGAAGAGGTGGACGTAGATGTGGAGGAGTGTAGCAGCGTCGACGATGGGCCAGTCCACGAAGTGACCGAAGACCCTGCCGAGGCCGGCACGCCCTCGCGAAGAAGCAGCGCGGAAAGTAGCAGCAACGCGGACGAGAGGAAACAACGTCTGAGGACCAGCTGCAATTCCGACGAGCTGCGTGATGTCGAGTGCCACCTCGAGACCAAGGATCTCTGGGACAAGTTCAACGACCTCGGCACGGAGATGATCATCACGAAGACCGGCCGGTAAGTGACGCGTGTCGATCGGAAGAGATGCGCGAGAGTATCGGTGCTTACGCGTTTCAAGGAACTCGATGTGAGACACGCTATACGTATTGCAGGGCAAATTCGAGCAGGTCGTTGTTGGACACTCAGAAAAAAACGGTGGTAGCAGCCGTAAATGTGACAGCTATTAGCAAGTTTTATGTATACACTGGAAAAAAATCTAGTTGCATTACTTCAAATTTTGGAGCTTTAAAATGGACAAATGTAATTCTAGCTGAGATAACTGATTGATATGACGAGAATCTTCTGGTTTGTTCAATCAGAAATTTTTCTGAATGTAAAAATACATAGTTGAATAAACACTATCTTATAATTGTAATTAACTATAAAATAATACAACATAAAGTAACAAAAAACTATAAAGTATAAAATAGTTTATTCAACTATGTACATTTTAATTATATATATAAAACTTGTATAGTTGTCACCTTTATAGTTGCTACCATTATGTTTTTTACTCTGGGTAGAACGACGAATCTTTAACAAAGATGATTTTTGTAAAGTTGTTCTTTCTCTTTATTTCCTAATTATTTTGAAGAAGATCAATAATTTGAGTATTTCATGTTTCATAGAAACTCTGAAGTTCGTAGCAAATTCTACGAAAATATTGAGAATATTAAGGTCAAACATGTAATTTATTTATTTCACAAAAACGAAAGTTTACTATAGTTATATTGTCTGTATTATTTATTATTCATAATATAATTTTATTTGTACGAAAGCTTATCAATTATCTTAATGCAGCAATTTATCTACAAAGAAATATTTATATTCAAGTATCTTTCTTTAAATTAATGTATCAGTCTCAAAGAGGCTGCAGATAAGAGAGATCGTATTTTTAATGCAGAACGTGAGAATACATACAGAATACAGAAATCCTTCGGCTCTTTCAACCTCGTCATCCATCGGCAATTATCTTTACGATATCGTAACGCGAATCATATTCGCGCGCTCGTTAATCAGTCATATTTAAAGACCGCGACGCCGAAACGAGCGCCTTTAATTCGCAAGCAAACAGCGAGAAAAGGCGCGAGCAAGAACCCCCGGACGCCGAGAAGGGGACGTTGTCGGTAATGCGGGGCAGCAACCAGCTACGTCGGCGTACCTGAACTAATGGATTTCATTGACTGACGTTTTACGAGATATTTAAGGGAGTTTCAGACGTAATTTATCGCGCCCGTTTACGCGCGGACGCACGCATTTTTATATGTATGCTAATAAAGTTCGGCCGGCGTGGCCGCAGCTGCGGCCGGGATGCGTGACCACGTCGGAATTATGAGATATTCGTGCGCACGGTTAGTTGCGCGGGGTTAGTCGAGAGAGAGCTAACCATCGGTTGTCCCGACGATGCGTGTGCATGCGTGTAGTCGTGTATAGCCTCGAGGCGTTACAGCGATGATCGATGCGTCGCATTATCGCCCGAAGTTTCGCGATCGCGATCGAGGACCCGCAGAACGCCAGGACTCCGCTCTTTAGAAACTCCCCGGAGATGCTGCGATCGAGATAAGCTTCCAGGCTAATTGCGAAATACCGCACCGGGTAGAACGGATCTGCATCTTTTGCTCGACGGTGTCGAGGTACTTGTGAACCGGACGCGCGCTTCGATTATTATTATTATTAATAACCGCTAGAAAACACATTCTTCGCGATCACGATGAAAAAACATTTCGAATGTTTGCTAGGGTAGTACCGTTCGTTAATTTTAAGGTTTTGTAACTTGAGATATTAAATTAATAATAATCGCTTCTGCAGAAATTAATGTTTAATACTTTTTTTGTTGCAATTTCTAATATTACTTCTGGCATCTCATCGATATTCGATTCCAACGCTTTTTCAATAATGACACGATAGTTGACCTACTATCCGTAATTCTAAAGATTTTACCGGTACTATTAATAAAGTTTCATTTTTTTCTGTTAATTGATTTTTGCGCAAAGCGTCTCGTCTAATTTAAAATTGCGCATCAGATGAATCGATCTATACATTTTCTGATATTGAGGAATCAATTTATTAATAGTAATAATCGAAAGATTTCCGAATCGCGTGCTTTAATTATTATTATTAATCGCAGAACTCGCAGAACACAAGCTACAATAGTAACATTGTATCAATTATTATAATTTCCCAATCAACAACATAATATGACACATGTTGTACATAACAGTTATATCGTTGTGGAATCGCGTTAAATTATAATATTGGTATAATCATACACTTATAAGATAGACCCAGCATACCCCTATGAAGTGAAGTCAACAGAACGGTAAGAGATGCAAAACATCGGTGAATCTCTATCTTTCTCTTACGCGCGCATATTCACAGTAATGGAGAAGAATAGAGATTCTTTACCGTTATTTTTGCTCTTACTCATTCTTACTTTACTATCGTAGTACTTTACTTCACTTCTACCATGGGGGCGTGCTGGGTTTATCTTATAAGTCTATGGGTATATGTATTCTGATAGTTTATGTTCTGTATAGGAAGTGCCAAAAAACATATTCTCACAGTTACGATACAAGACATTTTGAACGTTTGCAAAAGAATTCTTTAATTTGTGGAGATTTAAATATGAAGCATAAGCTATTGAACAAATAATAAGCAACAATAAATAATTCAACGAATAACAATCACTTTTGTAGAAATTAAAATATTTAATATTCTTTTTATGACAATTTTCTATTATTTCTGGTAATCTTAACCATATTTGATTCCAATATTTTCTTTCAATAATGACACGTCATCCATAATTCTAAAATCATTATTTATGGGGAGACCTATTATGAAACTGATAAAATTTCTCGCCAATAGCAATCTTTCTATAATTTGATTTTTGTGGAACGTCGCGTTTAATTCACTTATACCGAGCACTTTAATTACAATTAAACATGTATTAATCATTCGCTCCGCTGGACACCAAGTGTTTTATTTCACGCAGCTAACGTTTTGCTTCGAGTAGCGCGTTTTACTAGCGACACTGTGGTATATTTATGCGGTGCAGAAAGTAGACGATAATCCGATAAGCCACGCAACTACAGTGAATGCGATTGCGGTTAAGCCGCGCCGTGCGCAATTATGAAGCGCAACTGCGAGAATTGCGCAAACAGGTGCCTTCCGATCGAGCCTTGAATCTTCTTACAGCATCTTAGAGATCCGCATCTCTTTTGAGATATTCCACATATTTGCGAGAATAAGTTCCATCGATAAGATCACCTCAAATCGTTTTCGTCTTTCTATCCTGTGTTCATTTAACTCGCTCGTCAAGCACAACAAATTACGGGATCGAAAATCTGAAGCTTCGCGGCGAGTAACCGTTCAGATTGCCGTCTTGATAAATTTACCATTGCGCTCTAAAGGAGCATTATACGAGAGCTAATTCTTTCTATGAATGTGTACCTTCTTGCTTCTTCTCCGGGCACCCCACGGTTCGCCGTACCGCAGGCTGTTTGTCGGTAGAAATGTAGCTGTTACTAAAGCGCAACCTTGAGGTGTTACCGAGGTGATCAACGTCGGGCGTACGCCATACGTGTTTGTCCAGAGCGCACTCGGATATTAGATGTACTCCGGATAAGCCCCGCGACTTCGTCATTAACGCCTACGGTTCCTCCTCGTATGCGTAACAATGTGGCACTACCCGGCACTATTACGTTATCGAAAGGAGAAAGCGACATGTTAGATAAATTGCACGTTGACTCGTTTGACTTCGTCATCGCCATCTCTTCGATCACGATCTTCGTCGAGCAGCAAAGTATTTAGATAGACTCGCGCGAGTATCAATGCTTCACGATTCCACAGCAAATTTTCCGGATCTTCAACATCGTTCCAAAGTAACGAATGACCCTTGAATGATCCTCGAGCCACGACTGATTGACGTGACGTGCTTCTTGCTACCTTGGTGTTCGCAATAAGAGATATAGCTGAGAAATAATGGAAATCAAGAGAGTATATGGTGGAAGGTAAAAGTAAGCGACTTCGCGCGCGCTATGCAGGAGGTAGAGAGATGATAATCGATAAGCCGCGTGAGCTTGTAATCGAGAGTGCGATTTCGGATAAGACGGGGCAGGCCTCTAATTACGAAATACTTAGCGGCTCTTGGGGAGCCGGGTAATTATCGCCGGGCGTAAGGTGTCGGGGATGAGGAGCCACCTTCCAGCGGGCGAAACTTTCAGGAACGCGATCGGTGGACTGCTACATTATAAGCAGAAGTGTGTGTGTTTACGCCAGCGCGAGGAAAGCAGATGATAATTGGATAAGCCGCGTACGCACGGGATGATTTCGGATAAGACGGACGGCGCGTAATTACAAAACGCCGCGAGAGTGCCTCGGGCAGGGAGGAGCGATGATCGCCTGAGAATATAACCCGCCGCAATCCGTGCAACCTTGAGACGTCGTCGCGGAGAACATGCTGCCGCGATATCGTCGTCGGGGAAGTGGAAAACGATATCGAGCTTTAATAGCCATTCACAATGTTGCTCGGACTGTGAACCGTGAAAAGCACAAGCGTGAGCGAATTAGAAGAGAGAAGATTGCTCGATGACACGTATATGTGGCAAACAAAGTCTTTACTCCGGTGGTTTAACAACCGTGGAATTGGAAGATAAGGAAAGACAAATTATAAGACATTGACATCAACAATGCTTTAGCTTTTCCGAAATAAACGGAATTAGCTGCTTGCAGATTTAGAGCCTCGGACATTAGGTACTCCAGAGATTTCAGTGATTCCTGGACACAATAAGTATCACTGTGCTTCATTAAAAAAATTCGAAGTAATCCCAGGGCGTGCCGCTGTTCTCCGTGTCCTCGGTGGAGCGACGACGATCGATATATCAAGAACGCGACGATGCACGAATAGCGTCGTTAGCACGAACGACTTGGCACGAAATCCCAGCTGAGCGAGCTGAACGTCAGTCCAAGGAGTGACAATACGGATTCGGATTCTACCAATCAGGTGGAATTGTCCGGCC